TGCCTTTCAAATTAATATATTTTAAAAAAGAAAATTTTAAAAAGAAAACCAAAACAAGACTCCCTACAAGAATGTTACAGGAAAAAAAAAAAAAAGTAAACAATAAACCCAACTGATAATAGAGAAAAAAAATGCAATCAGAGAAAACATAAATTGATTCAGAAAGTAAAAATCAACAATCATATCAGAAAGTAAGCTGATGGTAGCGGAGGGAGGAAGCACGTGGCCAGAACAGGCAGATGACACGCACAGCTAGCTCTGGGAAGAGAGGAGAGGAAGAGACAGGGCACGAGTCACTGCAGTGCTGCACACTTTAAAACCAGAAGATTAAAATTATCTCCAGGAAAATGTTCAGATTTGTCCAACTTGTGTGAGACTATTGTTAGGCAAGCAAGGAAGCTCATTTACCAGAGTCAATTTTAATCAAACTGCACCTGCAGCATCCAAAGACAGCCGTGGAACATACACTGAAGCTCTCCAGCCTTCCAGTAACAACTGCTTAACCAGTTCTGAACACCGGCAGCAGAATGAGTAGTGCATTTAGAAACAAAGTATTAATACTCAGTATCTATTTGCATCAAGAAATCCATGAAAAATAAGAAAATGGCCCATCAGAAAAATCACGTAAATGTCACGGCATACAAATCACTGATGAAAGTGTAAAAGTGTGAAGCTAAATGCAATCCAGCAGATATTACCTGACAGAACAATCTACTTTTCAATATACAACAAAAATTCAAAATAATGCAGTATCAAATATTTAGATACAACATATTTAGTAAAAGATTTTTCACAAGGCAATTTGGCACTTTCAATCTAAAGCTCAAATGTGCATACCACCCACCACAGAAATCTATGTTAAAAAGTCTTTACAGCAGAAAATGTACAGGAGAAGCCTAGAACATCCTGTTCTATCAGCAAAAAAGCTATGGGGCTTACAGGGTGTGTCAAAAAGTCTCAGAGTCATATGGCTTAGCTTAAAGTTAAGCTGCCCACTCCTACATCAAAGTCGTAGCATTCAGTGCCTGGCTCTGGCTTCTGATTCCAGTTTTCTGTAAGTGTAAGCTTTGGGAGGCAGTGGTCATGACCCAAGTAATTGGGTTCCTGCGACCACTGTGAGCAACCTGCACTGTGATGCTGGATCCTACCGAGTTCCTGTTGAAGTCATGTGAGAAAACAGCAGATAGAAGATAACCCTATCTTCCAGCTTTCTGTCTCTAGTTTGCTAGCTAATTATCATCTATCTTTGTTTCTCTGCCCTCCAACTGGAAAATGAAGCTAAAAAATAAATAAAAATAGGGGTCCAGGCTAATCTTCCACCTGTCAATGTTGGTATTCCATATGGAGCTCCCAATCCAGCTTCCTACTTATGGCCTGGGAAAAGCAGCAGAGCAGGGCCCAAACCCTGAAGCCCCTGTACCCACACGTGAGGGCCAGAGGAAGCTCCTGGTTCCTGGCTCTGCTCTGGTGTTATGACCATGTGGGAAGTTAGACATGATGGAAGAAGATCTTTCTCTGTGTCCTTCCTTCTCTCCTTAAATCTGTCTTTCCAATAAGAAAAGCAGATGCCTCAAGGCCTTGGGATCCTGAACCTACATGGGAGACCCAGATCAGCTGAGCAGCCATATGGGAAGGAGGCAGCACACAGAAGACCTCTTCCTCTGTCTCCCCATCTCTCTGTAGAAAAATCTGCCTTTCAAACAAAAGCAAATAAATCTTTTCTAAAAAGAAATTAATAGCATTAGATATCAAGGGTTACCTACAATTTTAAGTTACTCTTATTTCTTCCTCAGGAGCTCATCAAAAAGATTATTTTTTGGAAAAAAAAAAAGACTAAACTATCAACAATATGGTTATTTGAGCAGCTCCCATCTCCATTAGACTGGAAATTCCATAAAGGTTAAAGCAGTGTCTATTTTTGACTATCATTTTAGTTCCCAGAACACAGCAAACTGTTTACCAAAGAGGTAATAAATATTTAATGGATGATTTAGTAGTTAACATTCATTAGATAACTTGCAGTACTGGAAGGTCTCCCTCTATTTCTCCCTCTTTCTCCTCTCCGCCCCGGCAACTCTGACTTTCCAAGTAAAATAAATAAGTCTTTTTTAAAAAGCTCCAGCCACTATAATCAAGGAGAAGTAATGACTACATCGGAGAATTATCGTTTCATAATCATGAATAAATAACAGAGACACTGAGTGAAAATTGCTGATAATTTAAAAACCAGACCGAGTCTCCTGACAGAGAAATAACAACACTATCTAGGACACGGACCCCACCACAAGATACTGCCCAGGACAGAGCCTCCCCACGGCCGCACTGGGATCCAGCCTCACTGTCCAACTAGCACTTCACGTACACGTAAATGAAAGACAAGCATGTCACTCATCACAGCAACAAAATCCAGGTTTCTAGAACCTGAAGGAAAATAAAAGAGGAGGAAAAGTTTAGATCAAGAGACTTTGAAGAGATACCTGAACTAAAATTTCTAAAATATTAAAACTAAAGTGTTTAGAAGTATGTATATTCATGATAAAATTAAAAAGCAAAGGCATATTTACCACAAAAGCAATAACATTAGGAAAACAGAACGATCTAAATATAAAGATGGCTTAAAATTTTTTTAACTCGTCTACTAATACAGGGATACAAACATTTTAAATGTGCCAATATTTATCTATTAAGCTCAAAGTCATACTTAGACCATATCTCTAAGAAACACAGATGAGCCCAAAATTTGTAGTGTGGCATGTTAGACATTTTTGTTCTTGAGTTTTTATTTATTTGAAAGGGAAAACACAGAGGGAGGAAGGGAGGGGGGAGGAGAAGGGGAGGAATAAGGGAGGAAGGTGCAGAGGAGTGGGGGGAGAAAGGGAAGAAGGAGAGAGGAGAGGAGTGGGAGGCTTAGCACAACATTTACACCTGCTAGTTCACTCACTGCCCCAACACCCTTTAGAGAATACATTAGCAACAAGTCAGAACCAAGAGCCAGGGACTCAAATCCAGGCACTATAACATGGGATGCATGCAGATCCACATAATCCACTGAAGTTGATTATAGGGACAGCCTATGACCAATTAATTTCACTGCAAGATAGATCACTGGAAGTGTGAACATATGCTCCAAATATGAAAGACTATTCCCAGCAGCGTCCTTCACAACAACCAAAAACCAGAAATAACCCAATTGTCCATTAAACATGTTATGCACAAAATGTGGTATATCAGTACAACAGAATATTATTCAACCATAATAAGGAAAGTGTAGATACTTAATTTTGCATGAATGAATGTGGAAATCATATCATAGATGAAAGATGTCATATGCGATACGATCACATTTATAGAAATATCCAAAACAGGCAAATCTACAGAGACAGAAAGTAGAGCAGCAGGTGACAGTAATTGGGGTCCCAGAGGACTGGGGAGTCACTGCTAAATACTTCAGAGTTTTTTTTGAGGTTGGGGAGCAGGGTGTGACAAAAAATACATAGTCGTGATGGCTGCACAAATCTGTGGATATATTAAAACACTGAATAAAATTAACAATAAAAATGACTATTAACTTTGATAAGTTCTCCCAACAATTTAAACGTTTCATCCACAGGGGTCTGCATGTCTTTTACTAAAACATAACAATCCTATGAAGACCAGGGCAATGATCTGAATCACTTTCCTGACTCTGTTCACTGTGGCTCTGCTGCCCCAGAGCCACCTGCCAGTGCCAACTCATGGAATGATTAACTAGAAACAACAAGGAATCTACTACTATGAAAATTAATGTAAAGCTAAACCTGAAATATTTATTAAAATCCTTCTTTCAACTAAGATAGCATGGTATATAATTTGCTACAAAAATGTTAGTTTTAACTACACATATCAATCTCTATTCCTTGGCTACAAAAAGCAAAGTTGCAGGAAGACGGAAGCACATGCCGCTCCTAAGCGAAGCAATGATAATGAGCTTTTTCATGACGTAAGCATCACTACGGTCATTTTTTAAAGCTCTGAATGGGTTGCTACAGCAAGGCATCAAATTCTAGGAATATTTAAACATGCTAATCATGCACTATCTTATTCATGATTCTTGGCCAAAAATGTTTGTGGGCTTTTAAGCTCGAGAAAACAAAACAGACCATGAATTCCCTAGTGCGTATCCGGAAAAGTGAGACCAGGAATACTAACGGTGCTTCACATTCCAGGTAATGTGTGAAGGAGGAGGGACAATTTTAGGATGCTTACTGCAGAAAGGATCGTTTCTAGACAGGCCGACTGAAGTAACGCACTTTAACACTGAGTGTCTATGCATCCTGCAGAGTGATTAAATGCATTTACTATGTTCCCACTACCTTACCAGAAAATGAGGGCACAAAACAGTAATATACTGGTGATAGGCAGTTACTTATAAAAAGAATCTTTTTAAAACTTGTGGAATACTTGCTGCCATGTACTGATTTAACTAACAATTACATCTACTGCAGATGTGATTATATTACTCAGGAACATTAAGAAACATACTGTATCAAAGTTCATAAAAAATGGGTCCGGCGGTGTGGCCTAGCAGCTAAAGTCCTCGCCCTGAACGCACCGGGATCCCATATGGGCGCTGATTCTAGTCTCGGCAGCTCCACTTCCCATCCAGCTCCCTGCCTGTGGCCTGGGAAAGTAGTCAAGGACAGCCCAAAGCTTTGGGTCCCTGCACCCATGTGGGAGACCTGGAGGAGGTTCTAGGCTCCTGGCTTCGGATCAGCGCGGCTCCAGCCGTGGTGGTTACTTTGGGAGTGAATCATCGGACGGAAGATCTTCCTCTCTGTCTCTCCTCCTCTCTGTATATCTGACTTTCCAATAAAAATAAATATTTTTTTTAAAAGTTCATTAAAAATAACTACATTATTACTGTGAAAGGCATAGAACTTCTGGCACACGAAATCAACTCTTGTGAATAATTAAGCATTTACAGAAAAAGGAAATAAACGTATACAAGCTAGGATGCTTACCTGAACCACCCAGGGACTGTTGGCAAAGGCCATGATATCTCTCTCTTCCCAAAAAAAGGCAGAATCTGATCTTTTTATCATTTCAAACTTGCTAAGAAGCTTCATGGCATAAACCTTCTGTGATGCTTTATGACGAACCTGTTGGGTTTTTAAAACACAAAATTGTTAATACTGTAACTTTTGTGAGATATACATTACATTTAAACACAGAACCACCTCAGCTCAGCCAAAGCAAAATTCACGACATCCCATTTCCTCGTGCGAATTCACCGAGTGGAGGCACCGATTCAGCAAGGCAGCCAGGACCGCCCCTTCCCATCGGAGCAGGCTGCCCTGTCGGAGGGACAGTTTCTCGCTTCCGGGTAACACCATCCATGGCAGTGTCCACGGCTCAACAGCATAAAAAAGCTGGCCATGTTCCAGACCCTGCATTTGGACTGGCAGGCCACGCCGAGCATTTAGGAAATGCTCGGTCCTGCTGTCTTCCACCATCTCTCCACCTCTCAAATCATTTTTTAAAGTACTGTTGAATGAAAACTTTAAAAGATATGTCTACCAGGGAAAATTATGCTGAAGCAGTCTGAAACAGCAATGGACACATATCTCCCCTTCACTAAATGAACATAAAAAATCAACAGGTGGTGCATCAGGCTAGTCCTCCGCCTGAAAGAGCCAGCTGCTCTGCTTCTGACTCGGCTCCCTCCTAACGCCTGGGAAAGCAGCGAGGAAGGTCAGGCGTTGTACACCTGCACCCAGGCAGGTAGGCTGGGAAGAAACTCCTGGCTTCTAGCTTTGGATCAGCTCAGCTCTTGTCACTGTGGCCATTTGGGGAGTGAACCAGTACATGGAAGACCTCTTTCTCTCCAAGTCTCTGTGGGAAAATCCGCCTTTCCAATAAAAATAAATAATTCTCTTTTTAAAAGACTTTTTGTTTTATTTTTATTGGAAAGGTGGATATATACAGAGAAGGAAAGGCAAAGAGAGAAAGGTCTTCTATCCAAAGCCAGGAGCCAGGGCCTTATTCTGGGCCTCCCACATGGATAAAGGGTCCCAAGGCTTTGGACCATCCTGGACTGCTTTCCAAGGCCACAGGAAGGGAGCTAAAAGGGAAGTCAAGCAGCCAGAACACTAACCAGCACCCATATCCGATCCTGGTGTATGCAAGGTAAAGATTTAGCTGCTAGGCTATTGCGCTGGGCCCAAATAAATCTGTTTTTAAAAACAAACTGGTGGGGAAATCAAGATGGCAGAATTAGGGCAAGGACACAATTAAACCGATGGAGAAACATTAGCCAGGGTGAAGCAGAGAGGGCACATTCCAGGAAACAGGAGAACACAGACCATGGCAGAGGGGCACCTTGAAGACTGATAGACACAGGAAAGCAGCAAAAACAACAGGGTGGTGTTGCATCATACATCCCAACACATTCAGTCAGCAACGATCTGAACTGACCTGGCAGCCAGAACTCCATCATCAACCAGGTGGGATGGGGAGTTCACAGGGAACTCAGGAGGTGAACCCACACAAAGAACTGCCCCTCCCGATGGTTTGTTTGATTTGTCTAGAAGAGACAGAGCAGCCGATCCCAAAGAGGCAGTGTGGGAACAGGGTGGATCTAATACCCCAAACTTCATTCGAGCCAAATCGGGCACCATCTTGTGCAGGAAGGGAAAGTCTATGGGATAGGACTGCACATGCACTAAGCTGCGAGCGAACTCATTTCAGGCTCAGTGAATCGCAACAACATGGCATCCTACAGGTTCCACTGAAAATAGGCCCAGGTATCCCCAAGCCCGGCAGCCAGCAGGTCAAGAACTCTAGCAGTGGCACATCAGATGCCATTTTGTACAGTGTGGCAAAGGGTTTGAGACTGCAGGGACAACAGTGAGCTGCATATGCACTGAGCTGGGAGTAAACTCACCGACTTCAGTGCTCTGCACCTGTCCCACAGGGAAAAATAATACCGACTTTGCTATCTTACAACTCAAAATAGGTCCATGTGGCTCTCAGACCTAATAGCCAACAGATTCTGGCAAGGTCAGCACCACCAACAACCTAGCTCTTTAGGATTCCTGGTGTCTCCCTAATCTTGGGAACTGAGTGAATTGGAAGTGGAAGAAGCATTGTGCAGACAGCAGTAAGGGATCGCAGGAGGAGCCAGGAGCTGGGGCTGTGAAGACCATGCTGGAAGTTCAAGGTAAGAGCCCAGATCTGAAACTACTTGAAGGGAGTGGCACAAGTGACTGCAAACAAAGAGCCAAGTACCAACCACAGTAAAATCGAATTGTAGACCCGTGGATGACACAGCTTAGAAACCTACCCTAAGAAGAAGAATCTGATAACCAGAAGTACAATGACCAAGAGCAAAAGACAGAGGCACAATGAATATTACTGAAGACTCCCCTGCAAAGGAGCAAAAGTCTTTGCCAACCTCAGAGTTAACTGAGGAAGACATACAGAAAGCAGGGGGATACAGAATAATACACTTGTTATAAAGCTTCTTATCAACAACGAGAAGCAATATGTCACACAGGAAATAGAAATGCTGAAACAAAATCAAGCCAAATTACTAGGAATGAAGGATGCAATAGAGCAAAGTAAAAACTCAGTGACAAGTCTCAATAACAAAATGAATGAGGCAGAAGACAGAATCTCAGAATTGGAAGATATTTCCTGGCACAAAGGGGAAATAACCAAAAAGCTGAAAGCAGAGCTAGGTCAAGCTTTAAAAAGTATTCAGGAATTAAGAGACACTATTACAAGGTCAAAAATAAGAATTATGTGAGTTCCAGAAGGTGCAGAAAGAAAAGCTGGGTTTAAAAATGTACTCAGTGAAATAATAAGGGAAAATAATCAGGAGAAAGAAATGGGAAACAACACCCAGGAGAGACACAGAACTCACATCAGAATTGACCAAAAGAAATCTTCACCACAACACATAATAATCAAGCTCTCTTCAATAGAACATAAGAAAAAGATCCTTAAATGTGTATGTGAGGGCCCGGCACATGGCCTAGCGGCTCAGGTCCTCGCCTTGAATGAGCCGCACCGGGATCCCATATGGGTGCCGGTTCTGATCCCGGCCGCTCCACTTCCCATCCAGCTCCCTGCTTGTGGCCTGGGAAAGCAGTCAAGGATGGCTTGGGACCCTGCAACCCACTTGGGAGACCTGGAAGGAGTTTCCTGAGCTCCTGGCTTCGGATCGGCGCAGCTCTGGTCATTGAGATCACTTGGGGAGTGAATCATCAGATGGAAGATCTACCTCTGTGTCTCTCCTCCTCTCTGGACATCTGCCTTTCCAATAGAATAAATAAATCTTCCCCCTCCCCCCAAAAAAAGATGTTCTCCAACAGACAAAAGGAACAGCATCCACCAAAACCAAAGGCAAACGCGAAGAACATCCCAGTAAAATAACAACAGAAGACAAAAATCAATAAACAACCCATTGCTAAATGACAGGACCAAATTACCACCCATTCATATTAACCATAATTGTAAATGACTTAAACTCAAACACAAAAGCTATCTATTTGTTGCATACAGGAGATAACATCTCACCAACAAAAATCGGCAGACACTTTATCTCATGGATTTTGATGTCTTTGTTTTTAGTTAAATTTCTTCAACACTTTTGTTCTCATTAAATTTATTGCTGACTCATAGATCATACAGTAGCATCATTTTCTTCAAGAAGGTTCTTGATTTTCTTTTTCAATTTTCAGCAACACATCAGTCATTCAGTAGCATGTTATTTAACCTCATGGCATTGCAAATTTCTTCTTTTTCCTCTTGGTGTTGACTGTTTTGTGGTTTTTCATTTAAAGGGATGTACAGCAACTGTGTAATGGAGTCTATCATATCCAGTGGCATGCTGTTTAACTTCATGGCATCATAAATTTGTTTTTCTTCCTGTTGCTGATTTTGCTGTGGCTTTTCACTTGGGGGGATTTATAGTTAATGTGTAGTGGAGATTTGACATGCCCAGATGTGAGGACATGGTGCAGTGTGCATCTCTACTTCTGGATCGACGATGGACTCCCAGTGTAATAGTTGGATGTGACTTGATTATGGGATGCCTGACTCTCTGCTACTGTCCATGCCAGCAATGATAGACTTATGACTGTTTATGAGCAACTATGCTGTTGCAATGATATGGGAGAACGCAGAGTGGGGTTGGGGGGATTAGAGAGGGGATAAGGGAAATCCCAGGGCCTATGGAACTGTACCATAAAATGATAATACTAATAAAAATGAAAAACAAAAGAGTACTATTAGCTATCATAATTTTAAGTTATTCTTATTTCTTCCTCAGGAGCTCATCAAAAAGATTATAAACAGTATAGTTATATGAGCAGCTCCCATCTCCATTAGACTGGAAATTCCATAAAGGTTAAAGCAGTGTCTATTTTTGACTATCATTTTAGTTCCCAGAACACAGCAAACTGTTTACCAAAGAGGTAATAAATATTTAATGGATGATTTAGTAGTTAACATTCATTAGATGACTTGCAGTAATGACAACTGCTAACATTTGTACTTATCCTAATAGAATGTCAAAACAGAAGCTTCGAACCTCACCCCTGTATTTATTTCTCCCAGTCTTCCCTGCAGCTTCATGTTCCCAGTTGCTCTGGTTAAAACAGTAACAACAATTTTTTAAAACTTTAGCAACTCGTCTCTCAACTCATAAAATTTATGAGCAAATCACATCATTTCTACTTTTAAGCAGTTTCTGAATTCAGCCATCTCTAACTATCTCTACTTCTCCCACTCTGATCTCCCATCCTTCACCCCAATAGCCAGTGAGAGCTTCCCAAGCTTCAACCGGTCACCCGCCTCTGTCCAGTCTTGATACTTCTAAGACACAGATCATCCACAGGCTTCCCACGTTTGATCTGCTATCACTCCCGCTTGGAACTACTCCCTCAGGCCAGGCTCAATCCCACTCTTCCTTCAAATTCCTGCCCACACGCTGCCCTCTCAGCCCCCTCTGACCAAGCTACTGAACTGCCAACATGTTCTTGGTCCTATTATTTATTCTTCATTTTTGCTTCACTCCATTTAATGTTGTTTTATGTATTTACTGCCTGTTTCCTATTTGGGAATGTGAAGTTAGCAAAACTAGGCAATATTCTAA